GCAGAGAACTCTGTTTCTTCTGATGGGAAATGATTTATTTGAGGATTTCACTGCCTCCAAGTAATGAAGCGTATCTAATGGAAAACAACTATACCTCTGATGCTTGAATCATCTGAAGAATGTTGCCCTTTTCATAAGAACCGCAAGATAAGTGAGGCTGCGTTTTCTAAATGGTTCGAAAATGTAACCACATATAAAACAGGAGGTATGTAAAGTTTGCAAAACTGTCTCAGAATGCACTCACCTGAATTTTCCCCTGCACTCCAGTACTATCCATCCGGCTGGCAACATTTACAGTGTTCCCCCAGATATCATACTGTGGTCTTCTGGCTCCAATGACTCCAGCCACTACCGGCCCGACATTAATACCTAAAATCAAAACAACAAGTTTAGTTTCAAACACTACAGCATATCATCCAAGGGAAACATGAATCCTGCAAAATAGATTTAACACAAATGCCTTAGAATTTTTCTGGTCATAGGACATAATATATGTTAAATTAATGCCAACTGGACTTTTGTATTTGTAAGAGGTTTAGAAAGAAAGACATACACAGAGATATCTTATTGGAAATACAATATGATGGACAACATAAAAATTTGGCTCATCTGTGGATTTTCTTCTTTTTGTTTGTTTTAAGAAAAGAAGAAAAGCAGTGGTAGTGCAGAGTTTAGCTGTAGAACAATTCAGGACAAACTGTTAAAGATCTTTAATTGTTTGCTATGACTTCTACTGTGGTTGCTCATATAAAGCCTTTTAATAGAGGTTTTCCAAGTGGAACAGAAATAGTAGCCTGGAATACACGAGGAATGGGGTAAGGGAAGCATTCACATTGGTTGCCAGTACTAGACAATTCAGATCAGGGAGACACTGGAAGAAGAGAAAAGCATGTGAAAATGGCTCAAGCATTTTTTCCCAGAAACCACAGGGCTCGATTTGACATTGCTGACTGATTTTGACACCTTGTTTGGAAGATAAAAGAGGATGTTCCTTCTTCTGAGTGCCCTGAAGAGCTACAGATGCTAAACCCTGCATGAAGTTCTGTGCAAGGGCTTTCCCAGGCAAGTTATGCAGAAGAATGGGCGTTAGAGATTTGTCTTCTGCCCCTTTGTGAACCTGGAAAGACTAGTTAAGAGTTCAAACAGAATTTGGGGGTTTTAATTATTAGGGGGTACAGGAAGGCAAAGATATGTAACTCTCCTATTGCTGCCCTTGATGTCTTTGGCCTTTCTCAATTTTCCGTTGCTAGAAATCTCACTTTTCCCCTTGTCCAGCCCATTCTCACAATTCAGCCATGCAAATACAGAGAAAGAAGCTGGAAAAAACTATCTGTGTTAGAATATGCAATGAGACGATGAGAACAGCAATGGAAGTACCATTGGAGAGGAGCGGGATGCAGGGAAGGAAGGGACGAGGGGAACTTGCTCTCTAAGAAGGCTGGGAGAAAGGACTCTGAGAGGTATGACAGGTAATAACACGTAAAGGATTGCATGGGAAGGTTTGTGTTGTGAAGACCAGAGGATTTGATTTGTTGGAGAAAACAGGACTGGCTGAGGTGATTTGGCAACTGTGGACAAAAAGCTCCCATTACACTTTTAATGCCAACAAAGCTTTTGCAGATGCAACTTAACAGTTAAGTACAGTCAGACACAGTTTTGAGCAGTTTAGCAAAGAAAAGCAGCAAGCCACAAGACTGGGAACACAAATAATATTGTATAGAATTATTGGTGCAGTTTACTTTTAGAGGCGCATAGATTAAGTAAACACAGTGGAACTGAACACAATCATAATTCCTTAATACTGATGCTCATCATTCAGCTTGCTGACCTCCTATATGGATGTGACTCTTCCCCTAAAGGAGGCTTTTCAGTTTTAATCATGAGTGCGGGACGGGTAATCCTTTGCAGACAGCACAGGGAAAGCCAGCAAACAACAACGTTCTACTTGTATGATAATTGTCGAAACGTGACTTACCAACTCGTAGGACAAAGTCATTGTAAGACTGATAGTTGATTTCATCAAGAACGTCAAACATCTCTATTGCAAAATCTGCCAGCATACTCAGATGGGAATAAATTGATTTTTTAGCCTAGAAACAAAATAGTGTTGCACATTAGATTTGCATGGTATTGAGAGGCAGGTGAAATACCGAAGTGAAAAACAATGACAAGTTAAGACTGGATGGCTTAGGAAAAGAATCTAACCCATTTTGCTGTTTGTGAAAAGAAACTTTTGATGGTGGCTACAGCACATGCATTCTTTTCTCAAGTACTGAATTGTTTTTTTTCCCCTTCCCTCTCTCTTTTTGATTTCTGGGAAGAATTGAAAGCAGAGTTCCCGTGGTAAAGTGGTTCTGTTGCTAGAGAGCTGCAGATGTTTGTTGTGAGCGTGGCAGGGAATAGAACCTGCTTTCTTACAAAATTGCTTTGCCTGATGATTATTAATAACTATAGTTTCTGCCCTCTTCTCCCTTTGGGGCTTTTGCTTGCTCCATGGGGTGCATTCTGTTCCCATTGATAAAATTCCTGTTAGGCTTAAACCTGTGAGATGCGAAACACCCATATTTTCTTTCCTTTCCAGGCAAGCTGAAGTGAGTTGTTATAAAACACACCTAAATGAACTAAAGCAAAAGAACCAGAAGGGATCAAATGAAATGCTGAAGCGTCAACTTGTTAAAAAAACCCCAAAACATATGAAAATTATTTAAAACTTCAGTCTAATTGAACCATGGAACTCCTTTTCAGAGGATATTGTGGAGTCCAAAAGTTAGCTAGATGCAAACATAATTACTCAAACTCATGGAAGAAATATTTGCTACAAAGTAGTAGAAAGATATTTTCTGTAGCTCTAGAATTTCTTAAGCAGCACATCATTAGAAAGTGGAAACACAGGCTTGCGTGTTTGTCCTGTAACTCTTGCCCTTCCCCCAGGTTCTACCATTTGCTAGTTAAAGACAGGTTACTAGAACAGAGCTTTGACCTGGCTCAGTATGGTTGCTCCTATGTTGTGCTCTTACTTGAATGATAAATCTGAATTCTTGAACAGATTTGCAAAGTGAAAGTGGGCTAAAGGTAGGATATGGTGAAAGAAATTCAGGGTCAGTGGCAGTCTAGCTTCTGGAGGATATTGCACAACATGGCTGTGGCAGCTGGCATGAGATGAGAGCTCACTGGGTTTTTGTGATAATAGTGAGATTTTATAAATGGAGTACTTGACAGTGTCTGAGAAACCTCAGAAACAGGTTGCTATTTGCTTTATTCAGTTCAGTTTGAAAGGGATCCTTCGTGTGGCTGGGAAATCTACAAAAATCAGAGCTAACAAAAAATAATGAAAGTCATCTTTGGGCCAGTCCAAATTTTTAGGAAGGATATTTTTATTTACCTGCCTGGGTCTCTGGCATTCTGCTTCTTGCAATGTCAACTAGCTCTACTACTTTCCAACCTCACCAAGACAAAGGAAGAACAAGAATTAAGTTTAAAGAGTTGATGGCTACACTTCCAACAGAGAAGGAAAAGAATATTGAATGTCTGGAGGAGGGAGGGAGGAGTGTATAGTTTATTTAATCTTCTAATCTTCTTTATATTCTTTATCCTTCCATTTCTTTGCTGCCCAGTGAATGCTTTCATTTCCTGCAATGCCCCTCAGGGTTGCAGGAGAGAGGACTAGTGACAAATACTGGATGTGCTGCAGGTGATAGATGCCTCTCAAAAGGATTACTGGCAAACTCTTTTGAACCTGCACTGAAGAACACCACAAAGTTAGGACTCTGGTAAAGTCAAGACCCTGGTGAAATCACAGACGTAATTTCAAAGGACTCTACACAAACAATGAACTTCTATTGTGCAAAAGATCTACAAAGAGCTTGGTTTGTGTGCTGCCCTGATGGTGTAACTGGCAAGCAGTTATTTATTTAAACATCAGAGGAATAGTTACTGGAAAGACTGCACAGAACATCACAACAAAACCACTCTGACAGAGGCAATGTGCATTTACTACCACCACCTGCTGAAGTCAAGCTGCAGAAACAACAGTCCTGTAAAATATGAGATTTAAATATGTAAATTCATCAGGGTACTGGGTTCTTATGTGTGTAAATATCCTCAGTAAAGAGCATGGTTAACCCTGTCCACTGCTTCCTGCTCATGTCAAAATCCTAGTATGAAATTGGTGGCTATGCCAGATTTTCTGATGAAGCTGAGACACCCCTGGCAGAGGGGAGACCAGAAGCACCTGAATCTGTTACGGTCCCCATGGACACATCTGACCCCACAGGGCAGCCCAGGGACTTTGTGATGGTTGGCAGTGATTGTCTGTGCACAACGGGCTACCCAGGATCATTTCACTTCATAGCTGCATGCTAAAGACCTAGTGGGAAACTGTCAAGAGGACGTGAACAATTTCTACTCATTTGCATCACATAAGTAGTGGGAAGATATCGAAGAAGAGCTAAAATCCCAAGTTAAAGTAAAAAATATTGACTGTTTCATACAAGATCTTTAGGTTTTCTAGAATACAGAATGTCAAATAAATTCTACCTGTAGAGAAAAGATCAAAATTTGCCCCAAGATTTCAGAGAAAGGCAGAGTCTTGTACAAGACTTCCTGCAGTGATTTAAAATGCATTACTATCATAAGCTCAGAGCAGTATCTTCAGTACTGGGCTAGCTCAGCTGACCCTTCAGTTAGCAACTACAAAATACAAGAGATAAACATGTTTAGGTTTTGGAACATATGCTGCCCAAGTTACCAAATAACACACTTGTTTTCAGGATTATAGTTCAAAGAGCAGTTATAGCAGACGCACAAGTATACTGTTGCCTGTTTGCCTCAGATCACACTGAACAAAATTCAAAGGATCGATTTTTTTGCCTGACTCAGGACCCAGGAGTCAAACATTTCAGCATAAACAGAGTTTTAAAAATACCTTTTTGTTTTGTGTAGGTTTCTAGGAATGATACAAAGAAATGCGTCAGTTGTAAATACTCTGCAGACCAGAAAATGAGTTGCATGTGTATACTCCAACGTGATTCTGACAGTTGATTTCAATGTGGACTTGTTTTTTATTTACTTAACAAGGATAATTGTTGCTAGAAAGTTCACAGGCCATCTTCTGGCCCTTTTTTTGCTTTTGCCCTCTAATTCAGTGTTACTTTGCAATGCTAAACCATATGCATGAGTGTACCTCCATGTCCTGGTTTTGGCTGGGATAGAGCTATTTTTTTTTCTTCTTAGTAGCTCGCTTCTTAGTGGCTAGAAAAGTGCTGTGTTTTGGATTCACTATGAGAAGAACATTGACAATATACTGATGTTTTCAGTTGTTGCTAAGGAATCAAGGACTTTTCAACTTCTCATGTCTTGCTAGCGTACAGGTGTTCTAGAAGCTGGAATGGAGCATAGACAGAGCAACAGACCCAAATTGGCCAATGGAATATTCCATACTCAGTATATAGATGAGGGTTAGCCAGGAGGCTGGGGGCTCGCTCTCTTCTGAGATTGTGGTTTTGGGATTTTCTCCTCCGGGATCGCTAGCCAGGAATGGGCTGGGCCTGGTTGGTGGGTGGTAAGCAACTGTTACATTACTCGTTTGTATGTTCTGTTATTATGATCATTATCATTATTATTTTATCTTATTTCAATTATTAAACCGTTCTTATCTTAACCCACGAGTTTAATTCTTTTTCCGATTCTCCTCCCCACCCCACTGGGAGCAGGGAGGAGTGAGCAAGTGGCTGCGTGGTGCTTAGTTGATGGCTGTGGGGTTAAACCACGATGATCTACAATACACGTACATGCAGATCAGAATAAGGGAGAGCTGTCTGGAAATTCTGGGTAGACTAGGTGTATGGATTACTTTCATTTTCATTACATCCCTCACATTATTAATTTTATAGAAATAATTTTATTAGTCTAATTATTAACGTGCATAGTACTCTATACAATATATTCAGTACACTGACCACAGGGTTTTCTGCTTTTCCAGATGCTGCATGCAAATCTAGGAAATCTCTGTCCCAAGACACAAACTTAAGGTGAGAAACACACTCAGGAGTAGTAATGAGAATACAGAAGAACTGTGCTCCAGAACTAGTGAGTCTGAAATGACTTTGGACTTTTTTTATTGCTGAGTAATTAAAGGGGTAAAAAGAATGCTAGTGGTAAAGACAAAGAAGAGCTAATTTAGAGGGACAAGGGTAAAGTGCAGCAATGCAGCTAGCACTAAGTTCCTGGCCATGATGGGGGTTGGGAGAGGCTGTTTGTTTTGATTGTAAGTTCCACTCAGATTTCAGTATAAAAAAAAAAAAATTAAAAATCACATTTTAGTATTCTTGTGGTAGTTTTGCAGCAATTCATTACACCTAGAGCCTCCTCTTCCCCGAGTCTTACAAGGTCATCTAAGATACTGGGTTTAAAACAATACCTCTCAGACTTAGGAGCTTTATACACCAATTTGCAGAGAATCCACAGCTGCAGACAATGAAATTCAAAATGACACCACTTGAGCAACTGCTAGGATAGCAATTTTTCTTTTCAGGCTACAGTTCTTTGAATTTCAGATTTAAATTGTTGTAAAGAAGTAATACAAGTTATCTATAACCACATAGAGTTAGTTGTGGTTCTGATGTTCCTCTGGACATTGAAGGAGAATGGATCCTCCACAAATGACTGTCATGTAAAATCTTACCTTAGTTCCTGAAGTAGGTACAAGTCCCACAGCTGCCATGTATGTACTTCCAATTGTCTTGATCTTTTCTATGTCCTTATAACATTCTTTGTCCATAAGCTTTGTTTAAAACATAAAACTGTTAAATATTACATAATATTTTAGACAAGCAACCATAGTTATAATATGTGCAAGTTGATTAAACCGTATTATTTTTGGTAAGTTAAGGCTTGCCCACTTTGAGGTCATTGAAAAAACTACCATTAACTAGCATTTTAATACTCTTCCTATATTAGAGGAATTTGAGATCAGACTCATGAGTCTAAAAGTACAAACTGGGCACTTTGGAGAAGCTCAGTGGACACCTACTACAATTAAATAGTTAGTTTACACTCCTGTTTTATTAGGCAGTTCAAGATACGCTGAGTTGCTACAGATAATCTCTGTTGACAGTAATTTGGTAGAACTGATACGGTCAAAAGACAAAGTGTTTAGACCTTACCTCATCAAAATCAGCAATAATTTCATTTAACAGGCGTAAACATTCCACTCCCATGTTATTGCCATCCAATTCGATGTAGAAATCATTGAAATTTGGGATGGAAGCAAACATCACTCCCACTTGTGAATATGACTGGTAATAAAGGTCCTGCAGTTCATAAGCAGACAAAATTTTTATTTTAAAACTTTAATCTAAACCAGGCATCATTATTATGATATCTATTCTGCTGCTAAGCAATAGCTAGGACAAAAGCCATCATTTTTGGTAGAGAGAAAGCCAGCCTTACTAAAAAAATGTTAAAACAGCTCTCCACTCAAAAGCACAAAAGAAAATTAACACCTAAGCTATGAAACCCATTTAAAGCAACTAGTCTTTTTCTCTGTTTAGACATGGAAGCAGCGAGCAAAAATTTTGTAGAAAGTCTTAACAGTTGTAGAACTTTTATTGTATGAGAAATATAACTGTGTTTTCTCAATGTTGCTTCATAACTAAAATAGGAGATGGAACAATTTTACCCTGCAGCACAAAACCAGCCTCGGTCCTTTATGTCTTTCCCTGAGTTGCAGAGTCCTGTATTCAACATTAGCAATATAATCCTGTTCTGTACGATAAGGTTTCTATTTAAGAATTGGGAGGGCTCATGGAAAATAAAACCACTATTCTGTGGTTCAAATACATTGATCCAAACTCTCAAGAGCAGTATCACAGCTGTTACAGCTACGCCAGTAGTGCAGGTATTGCAGCTGCACTGGAAGGACTCTGGTAGGGGCGTCCTGAACCAATTTATTTAATCACTGTGGCCCTTGATGTTAAAGCCACTGTCGTCTTCCTTGGGTGTGTACAAATATCTGTTTTTAACTTTAAATGGATGGGTTTGGTAACATCAGCATACTTCTAGAACTAGAGTGTTTCGTATGGAAGTGTCTGGCACTTCATACACTTCACCATTCAGAACAAAACTGAGCTCATGAAATACTGTGATAAATCCCAGTGTTCTAAATTGAGTGAAAAAAAAATAAATTAGTGATTTGCATACAGACACTTGGCTGCATTGACACTGAATGACACAAAATTCCATTACCCTGCTTTTTATTAGAATTCTTCAGTGAAGGAGGACACTACAGTGAAATAAATAATCCCCATCTAATTCTTGAACACAAGTTTTTACAAAACTATTCCTTTTAACATGAATGAAATTTTCTAAGTCCAAGCCTTTCTCGAAACCATATCTGAAAGATGTCCCAAGCTACAGAGTCACACCCATGAAACATCACCATGTATTGAAATTTTATCTTGGTTTACCATATTTCTTGGATTAGACATAAGAAAGTGCTGTGCAACATGTGCTGGCAACAGGTTGAAGAGAATTCTTTTATTATCCAGCTTGACTCTCTCCATATCGTCTCTCTCTTCTTCTGCCTGTGGGTATAAAGGAAGAGAAAAACCTTTCCAAAAAGCAAATAATTAGCTGAAGCCATCAAATAGCTTCTATTAATTCATCTTTTGAAATTAAACTGAGCAAAATAATGCCTGCAAAGTAGAGTGGGAACGGTTCTCCTACACTGTGCTTTTACATCAAGGCAAAATCCCTTTAAGTCCTTAGTAATTCAAGCTAAAGTCTCTGGGCTGATGACTACTTTCAAGGCTTGATCAGCTACGTGTATTGGTGTCTTCTGTAGTTCTCTGTTCTTTTAAACAGGCCCTTGATATTTTTACTGAGTAAAAAGCTAGAATAGCCCCCCTTAAGTCACACTGGCCTTGGAGGCCAATTACTTCCCAGGTAGGTGGAGACAGTGACAGCAGTACTTGATCCACCTTTCAAAAAAAGAGAAGCCTGCAGAATCACCAGTGTTTTAAAGCAAACCTACATCATTTTGCAGTAAAATGGAAACAAACTTGGTAAGATGGTAACTTCAACAAAGAAAAAGGTTTTAAAATTGAACCTCCTTAAGAATTAAAACCCAGTATTTTAATATAAAAATAGTTAGCATTTCTAGAGGTGGTTTTAATTAGTATTTGTCATGAAAGCATAAAAAGTTCCTGCGCACAGAAATTTCTGTGCACAACAGCAACAGAAATTCTATCATTCATGTGAATGACAGCAGTCAGAAAGAATGCCTGGAGTTAACATAGCTAAAGTCCTTAATCCAAGATACTGGTATCTTATTGCAAGTGTCTTGACTCACAGGAGTTGTGAGAGTCACATATTAGGGAACAATTCTAAAATCAGGCCCCTTATTGGAAAAATAGTGAATATCTAGGGATCTCACTTGGGACTCTTAGGTTTACAAATTCCTGCCTAGTCCTTAGTAGGCTCTTCTGCAAAATTACTTCTCTGGAATTTGCTCCTTGTTGTTAGACTGACTTTTGGCTCCACATTCTGATTTCAATTAGCAAACATTTGATCCGTACCATATAATTCATCTCATAGAAACCACAGCTTACTCTTTGCTCTTCAATCACATTCATAGAACTGCAACACAAATCTTCTGCTGTGATCCCAATATGATTTTGTTTATCTTGTCACAGTCAGCAGAGGACTGGAAGGCCAAATTATCTGGCATTGTTGAGAAACTATAATCATGTAAACCACTGAAGAATCTGCTCTAATCTTTGTTGGTGTCTCTTTTGTATCTAGAATTTGCTGTCCTGATCTATCACAAAGTCCACATACTTTTCTCACTATCCATTCCTGTCTAAGCAGAAGAAAACCAGTCACCTCTTGCCTTTGTATAGTCTTGCAACAGCCTTTTAATGGGATTTTTTTTTTTTTTTTCAGGAAGCTGATTTTTGCTTTCCATGACAAAACTTAGGAAACAACCTTTTCATTCAACTGACATAGTCCACTTTGCCTTGGAGTTTACTTCTGTATTCTTAAATTTCTTTATAAGCAGAAAGAATGCTGAAAGAGAATTGGTTTTATAAACATAACTTCTTCGGGAATCATTCCTTTTTGAAATAAAGTCTCAGATCCTCCTCTAATTCATGTAATACGAAGCAGAATTTATTCCAAAGATGAAATACCAGTAAACATTAAATAGCAGTTCAGCTCTGCAAGAGATATGCCTGAAATTTTTATTCAAAATAAGTGCCTATTTCCTGTTTGTGAACTGGTTTTCTGACACTTTTTTTTGATGTTTAAATTTCATTTGCTGTTTTCTTAAAATATCCTTCCCCTACTTTAGTGGTGTAACTCTGTCTCTGACTTATTGTCATCTATAAACATGTGTAACAGCCTCTTGTGTTTAGGCAGACTTGGAATTTAAATGTTCTAATAGTAAAAATAAAAAGCTTTTTCCATCTGAAAATCCAAACCAAGCTTACAACTCCATTTTTACACCATACCAGAATATGGGAAATTTTACTCTGATGACAGCAAAGAGATTTTCAAACTGAATTCATGCTCTGAATAAAAAAATCCCTTCTTGAATAGGAACTTTTTTGTTGCTTTCTTCCGAGGAATATTTAAGCATCTCAGTTAAGCTTCCAATACAATATGGGGCAGAATAGCAGCCTAAGGAGCAGTACACCTTTGGGGCAGGTTATAGAGATTTTTGGACAAGTCAAAGTACTCAAGCAGGGGTAGGTGAGTGGAGTAATCAGTTTGACACATTGCATGGATGGTGATGTTGCTCAATCAATGGCAGCTGCTGTTTACTTCTGATACAGAAATGCATGACCAGATTCATCTGCCTTGCACAGTTGTGGACCAAACCATGTGGACCATTTTGGAAGACATCATTGAGAAGGTTCTTCAGCAATATGTAGTGTTTTCTACCATTGTGTACGATTCACAACAAAGGTTTCAGAGCATGCCATAGCACAAAGACAAAGCTGCCAGCCCTGAAGCAGACCCTTGTGACCTTGGTCATGTTGCTGGACTTCTGTCTAGCCTTTGATGCAGAGAAATAGAAGACAATTCTAATATACCAGCACAAAATAAATGAGGAAGGGCACCCTAGTCTGTTGGTTTTCTGGTTGTTTCCTTCTGATAGGATTTAAGGCATGTGATGGCTTTTCTCTTCCTTTCTATCTTGCTTCAAGTAATGAAACTTGCTTCAAGTCATGAAACTACTGGGAGAGAAATGCTAGTGACACTACTATGTGTGTGTAGGTATGTGTGTGACAATGTTCACAATGATGGACCACAGCTGTTACTAAAAGCCTGAGAACTGAGTTCTTGAGTGAAGAGCGAGTGGCTCAAACCAAGCCACCAAAGTTATGGCTGAAGGGGTGGCAAAACCCTCTGAGAGCAGGGAAAGGCATCAAGGATGTCACCATTGCTAAGCAACACAGTAGAATGCTACATTTCCAACACACCTAGCAAGCGTCTCTTCCCCTCTTCGGATGCAAAACTATTAACTACAGTATGGACTCCGACAAGGTTTGGTTGCCAGAAATGAGATGAAAGCCACTCAGGTCATAGATGGCCCTTGAATGATACCGTAGTGGGTAATGGCAGCAAACCCTAAATAGAGACAAACTATGCAAACAGCAGGACGATGGGAATGTAGGTCAAGTGCTCTTAACTCAGGCACTTCCTAGCCTGGACTGCACTCTCTCCCTGTGCTTCAGGGAGACATTTGCACTGGCAACGCCTATGTGGGGCCACGAAGAATCAGCCGTGTTAGCTCTGCCTGACCTAGCCCCAGACCTAGAAGCAGAACGTTCATGGAATTAGCACAGCACTCCCTCTGAGCTACTCAGTTCTGCTGAAAAGCAAGGTATACTAACTTAGGCCACACACTGCATTACTACTGCCATAGTGTTGCTGGTACCCTAGCCGAAGTCTCTGCACGGACCGCACTTATACCATCCAGACATACCAAATGTCTAACTCCTGCCTTTATTAAAGTGATCTGCTAGGAATATGAACTGAAGTGTACCTTCTCTGCTACTACTGCACAGTTTGAGTATCCATCCTCTCGCCCTGCACTGCCGAAGACAGCTCTCATTTACGCAACTCCTCAGGAGCTGCCTGGGGAAAGACGAAAGATCTCCTCGTGTCTTTTTCAAGGGAAGACAAAGCGGGGAGGTGAGGTTAAAAAAAAGACTTGATCATGTTCAGCAGTGACGACTCTAAAACTATCCCATCACATGGCTCTATGGAGAGCAAAGTAAACTGATTAATGAAATTTTCTGGGTCTTTTTCTAGCTTCTTGCTTTCTGCCCTTCAGGGGAATGCAATGAAAATGTCTTTTCTCCTTGTGACTCATGAACTCTCAGTGCCTACTCTCTGAGCAGCTGAGATAAAAAGGATATGTAGGCATCTCCCTTTCTCAGGCAAAATAGACACTGTGAAGGGAGAAGGAGTACTTGGGGCTGGAGAAAGGAGATTAAAATAGCACAGATCACAGGTATTTACATTCCTGGTGGAAATATTATTCAGACAGCTAAATAGCATCCAAACCTTCATCTATTTGCCCCTATTCCTATTGGTTAACTAAGGAAAGCTGCCAGCATGGTATCTGTCCAACAGCTGCTGGCTCAAAAAACAAGGCAGACTATTGTGAATATAAAGAAGAAAGAAAATACATCAGCATGAGCAACATCATTTTTCATATTCTGCTTTTTGCTTATACCTGTTTGGTATCCGTGGCAGCTAGGTCATTTTGCAAAAGTTAAGTGCATTTCCAGAGCTGCAGTATTTAAAAGCAGGCTTTGCTTTTGCTTCAGACTGCGTGACAAAATTTAAAATGTTCTTTGGTACTATGGCTTTTGACATCAAGGTAATTAACAGCTATTGCATTTTAAAGTTTCGCAGCATCCCACAGTTTTTACAATGTTGGTAACTGGTGACACATCCCGTTTGGGAAGTGGTCTGAGCTGTTGTATCACCTGAGCTATCAGGTGACTGTTTAATAAGCACAAAAAGCTGTAGCAATGTCACTGACTGAAGAGTTATCCCCGGAAAATCCACTGTTTCAAGCTACAGCTATAAAGAAGTCGCAGAACCATCATCTCTGTACCTGAAGGTGGCACTAAAGCCCCAGGGCAGAGACCCATCACACTGATGCCCAGGGGCCAGGTTTTCAAGAGTAAGTCCCAGCACGCATGGCAAGCCTTGGAAAATATGTCTTTCTTACAAGTGTTTAGAAAAGACAGCTGAATGATATTCTGGTATTCCCTAAAGAATGCAACAATCAGTCATATCATTGTATTATTCTTCTTTTCCTTCCCTGACAAATTCTGGGTGAGTGAGCAACTCCATATTTTCGGCAGTTTTAGTTTCTTCACAAATTTATTGCTTGTATTTATTTGTCCACTGTTTTTTTTTCCCAGTTTTGTTGAATAATTTGCATAATCAAAAGTGATTATCAGTTCTCAAATAAGTAAAATGCTCCTGTATTTGCTATTCACAGTTATTGTCATCTGAGGCACACAGAGTTACTCAACAACTTTATGTAGAAAATGAAATTCTCCTCTCACTGCCTATTAAAAAAAAAAAGCAACCAAAAGATATTTTCTGGAAAGACTGTGATATTTAGAGAGGTTAAATTTAGCACAGGAAAAAACCTAGCAAAATCAACAAGAACCTATAACACCATTGATGTGTGAATGGTAAGTATAAATATAAATGCTTTAACAACTTATCATCAATCAGGAAAAAGTATTTTTCCCACATGTTGTACATAAATCATGCTGTATTATCTCTGTTCTGGTTATGCAACCTAGATGCATGGAAATTAGATTAACTTTTCTTGAAACTGCCTAATTTTTCTAAATCAGTTTATCTTGCTTAAAAACCGCTTTTCTTCAAAATATATTTTTTTCTTGATGTGACAGAGAAAATCTATGGAAATGGGTTTTCCTCAGACCTTGGCACAGACCACTGAGCATCTATCTGTATATTCTTCTTAATAATGGTATTAATTGCAGAATAGTTTCAGTATTTAAAATATCATTTAGTTAGTACTAATTGTTTGTTGCTCACAATGAAGTAAATGAAAATATCTATATTAGATCCTTTTTATTGCAGCTTATGCCACAAATGGTTTTATTCATCTGACACCATTTTTACAGGATTAGCCCCAGAATTAGCCTTACTAAAAGTATGCAAACAAAGTGCTTACGGTTTCCAGAACAGCCCTTGAGCCTGAAATTCTCCCAGTTGTAAGCCAACAGCTGAGATGCTTCCTAAAAATACGTGTTGTACCATGTTGGCACACCTTTCACACAGCAGCGGCTGGCTACTGGGAGATGTGAGTCTCCAGCTCTAGCAGTGGTTCATGCAATTCAGCGTTTGCACAAAGAACCAGCACACTCACTGTAAAACAGAAGAAAGTCTCCACAGTGCCTGCGCAGTAAGTCAGTGGTCTTTCTAAAACTTCTGCTAACGAGAACATAACCAAGTTAAACCAACATGGTTCAATGGGAGAGAAACAAGACTGAGAATGCTGTTTAACCATATACAGAGCTCCTGCAGTCCAGCAGCTAGAAAAACTGTCACTCAGGAAGGTGGTTTTTACCCTTGTCTCCTCTCAAAAATTGTTAAACTATCAGTAGCTTGGAGTTTGCTGACTATTCAAAGGCAGTTTTAACATATAGATATTGCCAGCCAACAGCCTTCCCAGAGCTTTTAATACTCAGATTTTCACGATGCCAAAGAGCCTAATAAATACAAACATTGCTTATGCATTTGAATAGGTAAGCACCATAAGCACATCTGTAACATCCAAAGGGTACTTATGCATGTTAATTAGCCCTTGTATTCAGCATCATTTACAATTGATACAGAGAGTGGAAACCAGGGCAACATTCCTTATGACAAGTTATCCAATATTATTTATTGTACAGGGAATAGATCTTCTAAGTGGAATCGAGAAGAACAAGGGTAGATGCGCAGATCAGCAAAGAGGCCAAGTATCTACCCAGCACACTGATTTCAAAGAATGGTTGTTACATTGATCCCAAATTTCTGAATTTTCTACCTACACTGATTTTTCTTCCTGTCTGATTATTATCATGCAAATCTCACAGAGAAAATGGTACCACATAAGTACTTGATTTGCAATTGAAAAGATCTGAAAATGGCATTTGATCTCAGATGAAAAGCTCTTTTTGAAACAGCACCTGAAGATGCTGCTGGACATTACTGAAATTTGATAGGCATCCATATGTCTTAACTCCCCTTATTGTCCTTTGGAGTAAATGCACAATGCTTTTAACAATAGTGGTAGACGACTAGGTATTTCTGTAAAACCTGGCCTCAAGAAAACAGAAAGAGTTTATTCTTCTTCCTTTACTATTGCCTAGTTCTGGTCTTTCAGCAGGCAAGAATGCCATTACTTTCCGGTACTTGAATTTTTAAAACTAGTTGATCGCTAAAGAAAAGCTGACTTAAAACTAAGAAACTTTAAGAAGTACATTCCTTAGGGATGCAGAATTCACTGTGCAAGTCACAGTAGCTGGAATGATGAAAAGCATTTAAGATGCTGGAACTCACTCTTGACCTTTTGGAAGGCCACAGGACAGCAAAACAGCATCTTCCTGATTACTACTCTGTTTCGTGACTAGGGACAAAATCCAGAAGGTCTCATATTCATGGATCATATGGCACTCACATACCTCCACCATGTGCCAAACTATATAAAGATAGCTGCTATACAGCTAGTCGTGGGCTGCTCTGAGTTTCAAAGTCAGGGATTTTTTCTTTCCACCTAAAAACTGTATTTGGCACCACAGCAAGCGGAAACCGTTATCAGTTTGTCCGAAACAAACTTCTGAGGCTGATAGGCACAGCACCTACCAATACTGCAGGTCACAGGACAAAAATTAAATGAAGTGATCACATGTTGTTGACTCAGATAAACAGCACAGAGTCCACAGAAATTACAGAACAAGATAAACTTAAATCATAAAGGAGGTGGGCATGGTCTTGGACATCAAGACAACAAAAAAATCCCATCAGAGCTTAACTGTTAGGCAGAAAAACTTTAAGAGTGGAAGATAATAGAGCTAAGTCATTCCTGATTTCTCCATTCTAGGTAACAGTAGAGCCAGGGATGTGTTTAACCCAAGTGTTCCATTCCTGATCTTACACATAAAAGCAAGCACTGTGACAATATACACAGTCCTCAACATAGTTATCGGCGTGCAGGTGAGAACAGGATGTGACCCCTGTGAACTACAAAAGCATAAGATTTATCATAAAGGCAGCTTCCAAATTCCACTAAAATAAACTCACATCTTCTTCAGCTTTCCCTCAGTGGCCAGTGTGGAACACTTTGCAGGGGGTAATAGGACTTCTGAAAGGCATGACGGGGGTAGACATTTCCCAATTCCCCTGCTTACGGCTAATATAATTTCTATAGGTTTTGCTGTGATTGTGGCAGTTAGCAAATAGATTTTTTAAAAAAATGTCCACGCACTAGGTATCTAAATAATTTCCGATCTTCCTTTGAGAAAGAGCTCCATAGTTTCATTACATGATATGGGTATAAGTATTTCCTTTTATCAATTTTATTTGCTTCTTTTCAGTTTACCTGAACATCAACTTATTTTCACCCCTTTTTGTATTGTAAGATGAAAAAAACCCCATGGATTTAATTTCTTTATCTCAAGTTTATATTCCTTACAGTCAATTTCCCATGTTTGAAATTCTCACTATTCATAATGCACCTTAGATAGAAATACATTACTTCATTAATGATGTACTGTTACGAAACAACTACAAACAAATGAAAAAAATCACTTCTCCAGTGATTTTTGAAAGCCAGTTCAAAAAGTTAGACATCATTTTGTGTGCATGGATACTAGAAAGCAAAGTCCTATGACTTACCTGCACAGCCCAGAGGTAGTCCAGACGCAGCTTCAAGTCCACCTGTCTGGAATGCAGTGCCAAAGCACAAGAAAATAGCAAAATGGCTAGTATTGGTTCATAGCCACGCATATAAAAGGAGCCACCCCTTAAAAATAAAAGGAAAATAAATGGGTTATTTCAGGTTCTAATACCTAACACGGCATATTTTTAAATCAGTTCTTTAGTTTAGAATATGTGGGTACCCCCTAATCAGTAGCGTTTTCTGAGGAGGCTCATGTGGGCAGAGAGATAGGTGATAGTAAATCTGATCACTGCATCACACCAACATTCAACTTCTTGAGGATTTTATAATGCTATACATTATTGTAACATGTGTACCTGCTTTTAACTAGGAAATATAAACCACTTAAAAACTCAAAAGCTTAAATGAAATTGGAATTGGTTGAGGACTGCTGAAATACAGAAGTGAAGTTTTTAACTGTTTTTCTCTTTCATGTTAGACTGCAGTGTGTTCAGCTGAGGTATGTTGGCATAAACCGACAGAACAACGGGGTAACAGTTGCTAGTTCCCAAAAGCTGGTCTCTTGTTGATGGATATTACTAGATCCTACAACTGGTGGGGAAAGCATGGCTTAAGTATTTCTTACAGTCTACTGAGTATATAGCCCTAAGCAGCACTGAATGCTACAGGACAATTCACAGATGAGCAGACGATGTCGTGACTATCTACACACAACTTCAACTTTGCAAGGTACCTACCCCACTGCTTTTCTGTAACCACTGAGTTCCAGAATAACTATGTACAAAATAGTAACAAAAAGCAGAAGAATCATTTTTGGCAAGGAAGATACACGTAGAAATATTGCCAAGGTGAGAGTCCCCACTATACAGGAAAGGAAAGCATAGTGGGCTGTGTCACATGGAAGTTCATTCATTGTTTTATTTGTTCCACCAGGAGAAATAATAACTATTGAACTGCTGGAGTTGGTATTCCAAACCCAAGGCATACAGCCAACCTAGAAAAGACAGGAGAGGCAAGAAGGGGACAAAGTTAAATATGAAATAACCAGAAATGCAGCTGCGATAGATGACTGTAGGTTGTTTCTAATTGGAAAATATGGCTGTGGAGTTCCCATCCACCTCACTGCTCTAATAAAATCTCCCTCCTTTTGCTGTAATGCTTTACTTGGTTTTAGGTGTTGGATGCTCTTTGTCCATTAGAGGCCAGTAAGGCCAACCAATTAAAGTCTGGGCTTAGTTGAATAGTTTGCCTCCCGGTACTCAAACCCAAGAAATTCTCAAGCCAACATATTCCAGCAAAATTAAGGAACTTCAGTAAACATTTTACGTGGCCATGTGGGTGAGAAAGGTTCTTGCACAGAGCACAGAAAGAAATGTGTTTGTTTTATTATGTAAATTGTATCAATTCCAATTAATAAAATATAAAATAAAAAATATTTTAAACTTTGATTGAAAAGCTAAACATGAATAATATCTTTTATCCACCTCAGAGCTACTTCTGCTATCACGTGATTCAAATACAAGGCCTCATCTTTAATTATCCCTGCCATTTCAGTTATCCTGAGTTCCATTTCCTCCCTAGACTGAGAAATATGGGAAATTTGAGGACATTTAACCTCCTTCTTCCAAAGGCTATGCCATGTACATATCTCAGAGCTGTTACCCAAGGAAGGGAGGAATTTCTGACAAATAGTGCAAGTCCCTAGAGCTCCGGTTTTAATTGCACTCCAGCCTTTACCCCTTACAAAGGGAGAGAGTAAGAGTTAGCATAAAGTGGGAGAGTGGGATGGTAGTGAGAAATTCATTTTAAGAGGCACTGCCACCTAAGCCCTGCCCTGTACTTAAGCTTCTCTTTTGAAGTGTGTTATTAGACCTTTTTATTTCATCCTAACCACTGATAATGAAATTTTATAGCATGCTGTAAAATAACTGACAACCTGAAAGGTGATTAAGCAATATATTTTACAGGGGGTTGTAGTCATTTAAAAAGATGAGACATAACAGATAAAATGTGAGTTAAAGCATATTGGCTAACATTATGAAATGAAATGAGAAAGAGTGAAGTGAGAAATCTGTTTAATGTGATTTTGTTCAATATCCTTAAAAATGCGGTCATACTAAACTCATCTGAAAACATAGGCATGCATGAGGGCTTCATAAATGATGGACAATCCATCCAGGAGAACACCATCTCCTCTACAACCAAGAGTGAAACTTCAATACCTAGCACCTCTGCTAGCTGAGAATTCTAGAGGTACTACATTGGAGGAACAAATATTTTCTACTGATTAAACATTTCTCCTAAGGATTTCAACGGTTACAGGCTATTTTTGTTTCAATAAAGGATAAAGTTATATTTGTGATCTAAGTTGTAACTGAATGATTACTGCCTTGTTGGAGGCCAGAACTTCTGAATTCTAGTCTGCCTTCTTCCACTGATGTTCAACATTGCCTTACGCCTTATGATGTGTTTCTCATTTTCACCCATCTTTAAGTGTCAACAACAGTCCTTTTTACGGTTGGCCAAAGTGATCTGTGGGGGCTGATCCACAAAGGTTCCAGCTGTCATAATATTAATCTCAATCCCAAAGCCAGAAACACAGGGCTGGCTGAGATCCTAGCTAGCTTGGAGGTACTGCACATCTCTATCCATTTTGTGCTTATACGCACATTAAGAGCCACATGTACGTCTGTGTGCTATTAGGGCTATGCATTACTCACACAGCTTGATGTACAGGAATTCCCAGAAATGTCTGAACATCAGTAATTCTTGGTGCCTCTCAGGACATTGGAATTTGCAGACAAGGGATCCTCTGCCCATTCATTTCATGGGAATCAGCTTGGTAGATGTTCTCAGGGCAGGTCCAGGGACGAGTGAATACACAAAATAAGAGGCTTGGCACCTCAGTTAGCACTGGGAATTGCTCATGAAATCAGTCTTCCTATTGGTCAGAACACATTGCCTAAAGCCCTCAGAGAGGCATGATTTGAGACATCTGCCTCCTCAGCATTTCCAATTGTGTTAGCGTGCTATTTTTTTGTGCGAATTCTTCCCTTTGGGTACTCTAACATGTTTAATTCCTTAGCATTAGCAGTCAAAATGCTGAAATTGACTGCTGGGAATTTGACAAGGCAGCTAAATGCCAGACTTTTAGGTAGAAGTTTAAATCCTATTTGACATTCAAGTGCACCATGTAGCTGTTAATCTATAGTAAAAGAAGCTCAATTTTCAGAAGTATTGAGCAAGTTCACTTCATACGAGAGAAGCTTCCTAGACATTAGATGTGAATGGATCATGTAAGTAGCACAGTGTAAGCACCTCTTGTTATGCAATACTGTCCATCTTTTAGGATCTTGTTATCTTTTCTGATCTGCCTGGACTGAAAATATCCCCCTGTTATTATAAAGAAATGCGTTCTATAAGTTGCCACATAGAAGTAAGCGAAGTTGTTTGATACCATGCCTTGTCTGTCACAAAATATCAGCCACTGAACTCGTAAGCAAGCTGAACATTTAAAAATAGTTTCCCCATAAAGTACACGACATGATCAGACTCTGTGATATTAAGGTATGATATAAAATTTTCTAGAGATGTTGACTAGGTATTATCTATGTAATTTGCTAATAGCTTTGCCATTCCTAATTCAACACCCTGACTCAGGGCAGTGAAAGTTCAAATTATAGCAAAGGGCTTTAATCATGAAGAAACATGCTCTGCAAGTATGAATAATAAAAAGAGTAGAAATTCACCAGCCGAGAATATGGTATGTGTTTAATGGATCCATAACAGGTTGTTCTTTGAACAGAATGCTAAATTAAGTGACACTTGATTTACATACTCACCACACATCCTTGAGCCACAGAGTATATTAAGATCACAATAAAAATACATAAAATGGTACGAATTTGTATTGTCAGGCACCCTGGAAAACACTAAGAAAGAAAAAAAAAAGATTTATAGATAAAGATTTATAGATAAAGATTTAAAAATAGTTTTTAAAGTAGGGTTGTTATTTTTTAGTAGTCTATAAAGAGAAGTGAACAAGGGATACAGAAATTTTGCCTGCACTGCAAATTAAGGAACAAGAATGCAGTTATTACTGTGTATATGTGTTTTAATTGTATTGCATTTTTGGGGGTAATAAATGTGCAATTATTATACATTATTTCTTACTAGAATTAAAACTCTGTGAAAGGTTAGTAGGATGTCTGCTTATAAACAAATAATAAATTAGGATGGCATTTGGTTTTGTTCTTATGAAGAAATACCCAAAGCATTTTTTGTCTTGCAAATTATCAGCTACACATAGTGATTCAAGAGAACGTACTGCAGTAGCATAGAATTTTGGAGTGGTGTTCGTGTCTTCTGCTATGAATAGTCAGGTTAAATGCCAGGATAGTTTTAATTATCAAGACTCATTAAAAATACTGAATTTGACAGAGCAAAAAGAGCAGTAGAGAATAAAAATGTCTGATGGAATGGAGTCTTGTGAATCTCTTGCTCATCTCCACTTTTACTCTGATTCCATCACTGTGAAGTGCTTGCTGCTGTGAGCACATATGAAGCCAGTGACAGCAGGTGAGAGAGGAAGGATAGGTCTGTCAGGCTATAGTACTTCTGCTTGTTCCAGTCATATTGATCCACTTTGGTTTCAGGGAAAGCTGCTTTCCTTCTTTTTCCCTTGCATTAAGAATGTCTGGGGCATCTATTATCAACTGGATCCATGATATGTCTTTCAGACCACAGGACTTCTTCCAGTGACTTCAAGGGGCAAGAATGAACTCCAAGAAACATGCAAATTTAAAGTGAGAACAATCCCACGTCCCTTAAAAGGAGGGGGCTCAAGACTGGATTTGACTTAAGATCCAATAAAGCAAAAAACCACCTAATTTTTGGATGAAAGTCACCAGTCCTGAAGAAAAGCTGTTCACTTCACGGGCATCATCAACATCAGAAGCATAGCTTCAAGCAGGCAGCAAAGTACTCATAAAGAGGGGCTTCTGTGGCCTTGACACAACAGAAATCACGTATTGAAACTCCTCCCCTTCCTTTCACACAGGCAGAGACATTTCCCCTGTATGTGTGACTATGAATTAAAAGTTTGAGATAGTTATAGGTGAATCAACTTCATTTGGGCTGTGAAACATGAGAATACAGCAATTACAGGAAAAATAAAACCCCATGATCTTCAAATACATTCTCGCTTCAGTACGGATTAGTCCATGTAAATGGAGATGGGGAATAACTAACGTACTATCAGTACTGGACTTATATAAGCATATTATGGATCAGAGTTATTTTGCTACTCCAGAAACCAGTTTAACTACCAGTCAGCATCAGTAAAATATATTAGCATACCCAAGGTATATCACTTTTAACAAAACAGTGAGCATATTATAGAACAAAAACCTTGAACTGCAAGAATCTCACATTGAAAAGCCGTGTGTCAAGGGAGGCGATATAGTAGTGTCCAATGACACTGTGAAAAAAGAGAGAAGACTATTTCTGCATTTTTTCACCACTATCATAGTTTAGGTTGGAAGGGACTTCAAGGGGCCCAAAAGTACTGTCTGCCTTGACCCCCAGGGCCATTTTTGCAGAGCTGGTCAGTTCCCACACTCTCATTGCAGGGAGTTCAGGGCCTGGATTTTGCATTTCCATGCTGTATTTCATAAGATTCCTGTTGGCCCATTCTGCCAACCTATCTAGGTCCCCCTCAATGGTCATCCTGCCAGTGTGCCGGCTGTTCCCCTGAAAGTGGAGTCACCTGAAAATCTGACATGAGTACACTCAATATACTTCTCCAGGTCATTGATAAAAACGTTTAACATGACAGGTCCCAGGATAAACTCCTGTGGTGCCCCACTTATTACTGGCTTCCAGGTAGAATACAACCATAAACTGCTATGCTCTGAATGTAATCATCCAGATGGTTTTTTACCCATCAAGTTGTCCACCCAACTACACCAAAATCCTACGCACACACGAGGTGGAACATGTGTGTTTTTATCCATATAAATAAAAGACAAAATTTTTTTTGAAGGAAATATATATATATTCCATTAATTCAGTTTGCAAACAAATAAGTTACTTACTGGTTGTTAAAGAGAGAATCCCCACAGTACGAAGATGATGCTGCATAATTAATAGTGACAAAGCAAAATGCAGATTCAAAGACAATATGTCTTGACACATTGCACAGACATTTTTGTGTGTGTGTGGTACATGTATGTTCTAAATGTTGACATGCTAGGCTATTGGGTTAAAAAGGAAAATAAACCTTTAAAAGGTAAGGTATAAGACATATCTTAATTGAAACTGACTGACACTTAAAAGATTTTTACTTCTGACTTTTGGTCATTCGAAGATTGCGTCTGCTTTTTTATGATAGCATAGCATTTCTGGCTTCATTTTATCTGTTTTCTTTTATTTGTGGAATTTTTATTAGCTAAATAAGTACTGTCAGATCCACAAAATGCTAGGTAACTGCTACAGTAAAACATCAGTATAGTGGTTTTATCAGTGAGGTATTTGATGCTGAAGCATGGAGAAGTTGAGTCACTTGTTCAGTGCAAAATAGCAAATAACTGCCAGAAGAGTGATTAAAATAGGGGAACGATCAGTTTATAATTCTATATTCATTACACATAGGATATTCATTATTTATTACATAAGACAAATTTTCACCACTAAATTCAATATTCTGAGATTTTGTATTTATTTATTTTTCTAATGCTGGATTTGATCCTGTAAGGTACTGCATCTCTAGAGGAACCTGAAATAAATTCAAATTCTCTTGACTGCCAAAACAGCTGGAACAAACCTTAGGTTTGCACTAGCCCCAGGGAAATAGCATAAAGAGGAGCAATTTCCTACAAACTTCATCTGTGTTTCTACCATCCATAGGCAGAAAAACAGATGATAAACTACTGTGCCTTTATGAAACAAAAGAGATCACCAAAATTACTCCCAAATAATTGTGTAAGTTTATAAATAAAGATCTGCTCTGTACCAGATATCTGCTAATAACTATGTTTCCATGAAAACAATTACTTTCCTCCTGCCAAACGGCATTTTTTCTTAACTAAAAATCAGTGTGTGCTAATCAGCAAAGCTGATTAACTGTGTAGGTGTTTTCTCCTGATATTTGGCTGAAAAGACTAAATTTAGATTAAGCCACTACAGATTTCTTTCATCAGAAAATTAATCTGTAGATGCTTTATTCTGATCTGGCAGACCTAGTCCTTTCCTACAACAACCAAATGTCCTTCTGCATCATTAATGTTGTGAAAATGTAATGCAGGAGAATTAATCATTACTAAAGGTTTTGAAAAGGCCAAGGGCTGCGTGTGCAAAACATTGTGCTTTACCATCAGAACAGCTGCTGCTTTGGCAGGAAAAGTTTTGAAAACAGAGAGCAAGATAGCAGGACTTTATACCCAGGCACCAGCTGGAATGAAAGGGAGAATTAGTGTGCTCCATAGTCAGAAAGGAGAAAAATTCAGGTTAAAGCAGCTTTTTATCTGAACACTGGAATGATTTAGTAGCTAGTGGTAGGTGTTCAGCGGAGACGTAGAAAAAAGACAAAAAGCATAACATTAACAGCACTGGATCCTACACCGCTGTAACACTTACTCATGTAAAAAGTCTACTTTCAGGTGAACCATCTTTGTTTTTGAAGGGCCTAACACATTACTTAGCAATGAACTTGAAAGCACATAGATTTCAGACTCTACGAATCCGCGAAGCATGCACTGATGGCTTCATATTCCAAAGGACAAACAACGCATAGCCACCAAAGGAAGAATAGTCATAAAATCTTAAAGCACTTACTTGTACTCGTGTGACATGTAGGTACATAATACAAGCCACTAGGAAGCATATGCAGAACACCAGGAGAACAAGAACTACGGTACTCCTAGAATCAAAGCACAACAGAAGTAAAGCAATGCAACTGAACAAACAGCACAAGGATCCTTCTGAGATTGTATTTTGGAAGAATGGTGGAGGAACGCCCCCTTGCCCTTGCTCTAATACTAACTGTTGCAGAGGAAATTTCACAGTGAAATGCACTCCTCTCAAGAATGAGAAATCAGTAAATGCTCTTGTGTATGGTGCCCACTCTGACCTCAGCAAGGAGATCAAAGCAGCTCAAAAATTCAACTGTATGGTGTGTCAGGGGAGACACTTTCTAATTGTAGGCTGAAAAATGAATATTCAGCATGATGATTCTTACAAGTGGAGTGTGTAACTCAATTACTTGGCCTTGGCAGCTGTGTAACAGTTACCAGATGCTTTCCCTTTCTCATCTCTCCTTCTCAAAGATTCAGGAATCAGAGGTCAGTCAATTCAGCCACTTATCAAGTCAAATAAAATCAGACTAGACTGCAATCCCTTCTTCTAATGAAATAGAGCAACTCCCTCTTTGGAGTCTTCCTCAATGGTTAGAAAAACCCTAGGTTTCACAAAGATGCTGTAATAATTCTTTTAATTCTTAATCTTTCCTATCCTGATATTTCAAAACAGTCCCGTTCTTCATGAGAAGAGGAGTGCAGACCAAGTGGTGCAGATCACACACTTCCCTCCTCCAGAAAACCTGTGTTATTGGAGCAGTACCTTATGGATGTAAGCAAGCTGGCAAAAATTAGTGCACCAGTTCTGGTGCTTTGATTTATGCCGAGGGACAGCCTGGCCCCAAGTAAGCCATGAACCCAGGGCCGTATGACAGCAGCATAACACGATCTTCACACCTTTCTTGTAAGCACAACCCAGCCAGTGCAGAAGATGTGACCCATGGCTGCAGGCGTATGTGTGTCAGTGTCCTTGACCATCACTGTGGAAAGACTGCTTATACAGATTTTCTAACAACAGAAGAGAAGAGTGCAACTCTTCTGCTGTAGAATTTCTCAGTATTGGGCTTTAATTTCAAATTCATGTAACAATTTCCACCAATACACAACAGGGAAAATTCTGTAGTGTAGTGCGTATTCAGAATGGGGATGTGATTTTAGGTGCCATCAGTGTGGATTCTGAATACAAGTATTAATAGACAGCAGGCCTTCCCATGCTTTTAGACAACTGGCTTGTATTCAGGATGGCAGTACGCTAGAAAAAAACAATGCAGGGGACGTGATTGCAACAGTGTCTTTTAAGGCAGAAACAGCCAATCACTGACACTAGTGCTGAGTGGGACCCTGACAGAGATCTGGGTTGGCACCAGTAAAGAAAGGCTACATTGTTTTTTAAAAGTAAACCCAGTATAAGACATCAGAAAGGTCCAGCATCAAGGCTTTCAGTGGGTACGCTGCCTGTATGCCTCCATAATTGGACAGCTGAGGTTGACATGAACATAGCCTTACTTTCACCAACTCCATTTGGGGATATAAAATACGTCTTTAGCTGGGAAGCTGTTTTGCTCAGATGATCATAGGAATTGCGAGAATGCCAAGCCCATTGCTTTCTGTGTATTTATGCATAAACTGGCTTTCTTATAACATCTTCTTGTCTCTGGGTTTTGAACCTCCTCCTTGGAATACTGTGATACATGTCAAATACTATTATCATCACTGCTCCCATTAAAGTAACACATTACACTTCTTGTCCTCGCTTTGCATTCCCTTGTCATACTTATAACCACTTTGGCAATCTAAAGGGCAACTTCAAGCTCCATGTTCTGTGGAGAGGGGAAATTTTCCAATGCTCCCAAACTTTAAGTCTAGCTCATGGTTACATCTGTGTCACAGTGAGGGAAGAGCCTGAAAATTCTAGTAATTTCGTTGTGTAAAGCCACCACCCACAGATGCTGGAAGAGAAAACTTAAGGGGTGGCTTTTCTAACTAATCCAGTGATGAACCAGTCCATCTTCATGGCCTTCAGTGCTCATGTTCTGCTGGAGCTTGTGTGTCTGTAAGATCTGACCTTAAACTGAATCTCTGTCCAACTTGACAGTACTTTTTGGAAAGGTTACCAACTACTGTGCCGTATGATTCTGGAAATTCATTCTAGTTTCAACTACATTAATACTCTTTGTTTCTCCTTATTCTACATTGCCATGTACTGCATCTGGGCTTTACTCCAGAAATAGGTGAAAGAGTTCTTAACTATGCTCCAACTAGTCAGCAGAGGTCATTAGTCTGGAAATTAGATGATCCTTGTGACTTTGAATTCTTCAGATGAAAGGTATTATATGACAAATTTAAATGATGATGATGATTACTATTAAAGTAAAAAATGTGTTTCTCAAACTTTCAATTAGAAATAATAGAATATAGAAGTATTAATCTGATTGGGGATTTGTGAAGAGAAAAGACCAGAATTTAAAATGGGATTTTCAAAAGCATTATCTTGTGGCCAATTTTGTTCCCATTGAAATCCTAATAATTAGTAAAATCGAGTGAAGCTTATTTTGAATGTTTTGACCTTCTCATCCGAAAAAGCTTATCACTAATCATTTTTATACCTTGAACACAATAATAACTACCCACTATAACCCCTAGATTTGAAAGTGAAGTCTAATTGTTTTTTTATTTAGTAAGCATTCACGTAAAATTGACAAAATCTGAAGTAATCAATGAACTATATCACTCAACAATAGGCATCAGACACCCCGCAAATACATTATGAGCATTTGGTTATGTCTGCTTTAGTGCAGACAATGTCTGATTGCAACTCATATGGGAATAGCCAAACTAGGCAGTTTGTGTAGTGACAGCATTGATACCAAAAACCTCAATGCAGGCTATAAATTTGTGTTAAAAAGCTGGATGGATACCTCAGTACTTAGTTCTTGTTAAGCTCTGTATAGTTTTGTCTATGTTGCTATCAATACCTGAAGTACCTTGTCCAAAGCCAGCAGAAATGCATGTCGCAAAGCTGCAGTAAAGCCTTTGTTTGTAGTGCAGAAATGCTTTAAGTTAGTTCAGCAGATTTCAGTGTTTTTGTCTTCTAAGTGCACACTTCTATAACATGCTAACGGTTAGACCGAGGACATACCAACAGAAAGTCTCCTGTTTGAGAAGATACCAACCTGTGTGCTAATTCCCCCTCTAAAGACATTAATGTTTTGACCTGTGCAGGATGCTTGAGGATGTTTAATTATAATGGCAAAAGACAGAAACTTACTGTGGTATTATTAGAAGGTAGACAAGGCCAAATAAGGCAGCTAGAATTAATGAGAGAACTACAGCACTGGTGAAGTACTCATCCTGAAGCTGGTGGTACTGTTAAAGAAAGGAAGAAATGAAGTGAGCGTTTTATGTGCACCCAGCCACCCACGCTTGTCCATTCTCAGTAAGAAGGAACTATAGCCTAAAATAAAACAAGCCCCTACCCATTTTACAAACATACAAACAATCATTGCTAAATTCACACAAAAACCCCCATAAGGCAAGTCTACACAACGTTTTCCCTGACAGCCTTCTGTTTCAGCTGCTCCTATTGGCCTAGATGTTTAGTTTTCACCCTGTAACTAGTCAAATCTGCGCTAGGCTCAGACATAAACTTATCTTTTGGAGCAAAAAGGATTCAGCCAATCTGAACCAGAAGGAGGTGGCACTCCCTCCCCTCTACTTATCCATTGCAAAAAAAGGCCAAAACCTCCTTGATGCTGCCTTCAAGTTCTGTCACCACAGCTGCCTAGGACAGGACACTAACAGATGGGCTAGAGGCAGCTGCTAATGACAGATACGGGCTCAGTTTTGAGCAGTTACTGTCCCTGATTCCACTAAGCCACAGTCCTTACAACAGAACACTTTTCAGGGAGCGTTTTATCTGAAAGATCCACATTTCAATCTCATTTACACCAAAAGACTTTCTTATTTTGAAAGAAAACAATTACAATTAAATAATAAATCACTGTGGAAACTTGAAATCAAAGTTAATGCTCAAGACCTTAAAAAAATTGAGTACTATGTGACACACAGCCTGCTGACTCGGAACAGTAGTGACATGAAATCTTAGACTACGAAGTGACTTACAGTGGAAAAATAAATCCTACTGCCAAATTAATCCAAAATCATATCACTTTTGCTTTTTCAAACACACAAACGAAAGGCTTTTATTTTTTTCCAATTAAAACAAGTTGTATCTACTAACAAAACCCATACAGGGTAGGAATAAACAGCTATACTTTGTTAGCTTATATACATGCTTCTAAACCTGGAGTAAGTCCACTGCTTTCAGCAGTCACACTGGCACAAGATCACAACCTGGCCGAGATATTTAAGATCCTTTTGTATTTTCTAGGATTGATGGGATCAATACTTACTAGGCTACATATGCAGGAGGGAAGCATCCCCTTGTCATTATTTATGCTTCTCCAGAGTGGATGAATGAGCAGGCAGACACATTGCCACAAGACACCATTAAACAGGTGACACAGATCAGGTCAGGCAGTTTGGAGAAGCAAAAGGAAGGCCAAAACACCTCCAAGTGCTTCCACAGAAGGTGGAGATAATGTCTCTCTCTTAACTGAGGCACAATCCAGTGGATTATTTAAAGATAGTGAGCAGAATGTAACTATTGTATAAAAACCAACAAAAACCCACAATGCCAGTCGGCTCACGGTCAGGGAAATCAGTAAAAATAATAATAAAAAATCCCTTACTTTATTTTCACGCTCAATTTGCTTGTACTTCAGGGTAATGAAGTTCAAGTCAGCCATCTCAGACTCAGTTTGCCGGGCCTCTATCAAACGGCTGATGTATCTGTTTACTCGAGTTCCTGGAGTGTTGTATACAACATTGGTAGAAAAAGAGGAACGATTCCTGAGTTTTTCAGAGGCTGTTCTTAATGCTCTCCTCTGTAGCACAGGTGAAGAAAGAAGCAGAGATTTTATTAACATTGAAATTTTTCATTGCCGTTCATATTATCTCAGGCTCACAGCTAGGATGAGGAATTCATTAAGCAGAGCAACTACAAAAGACAGATCTTATCTCTGTGTGATTGCCATCTTTTAAAAACTCCTTAGCTGAAATCCCAGTCTCATTAAAATCAATGAGAAAACCCCCACTGCATTCCAGGATTTCGATCCTCATCCACAGAAATTCTCTTTACATACTGCCCTGACACTTCTCTGCCACTGAGGCAATCAACAATCAGTTTGATCCCAACCACTGTCATTTAACCTAGAAAAATAATTAGAATTTTTTCCTAGATGGAAGACATGGCGCTCTGGACATCTTGAAGACAAGATAACCAGGCTCTTCATGATACAAGGGAAGTCCTACTGTCCAAGACTATGTAGGTAACAACATGTATTTTGAAAAGACAGTTTTCCTCAACCTCTTGCACAATGACCATACGTGACTTCAGAAGGTCTGAAATCTCAAGTGTTCCTATCTTTAATTCACCCAAGCGGCTCTCTCATTAAGACCACTTGGGTATGCCTCAAGTGCACGTGCAGATCCAGATGGAGAAGTCCCATAAATTATCAAAGGTAACCTGTGCCTAACTGGGGCTAATTCCTCCATGGCTGAGACAGCACAACTGACAAAATGATCACTCATAGTCCCTTTTGGTGGAAAAGATTTAGCACAGAGTATATCTGAAAGGGATTTTAGACAACCTGTCTCACTTCTCACAAAGAGCACTTGGAAGACAGTGAACAGCATCTGAGCTGCACTGGTGGTAACCTTCAGTTGAGGGCACTGCAATCTAAACCATTATGGCTCGATCTGCATCAGTATGACTGCCCATGCCCTGGCACACCAAAAGGACCAGGGCCTTCAGAAAATACTCTTGTAGATGCAGCATTTTTTAAAAACAGAGTGAGAAAGATGTAGGCCAAATCCTGTGAAAGAAAAAACAGTCACCTAAAGATCAGCACATTGAGCAGGAAGAGGGAGGCATGAATTGAATACCCTTTTCACCTCAAGATGGGTCAAGTCTTACTTACCAGAAGAGTTTTGACAAGCAAGCTCAGGCAAGTTGTACTATTTTTATACAGTTAAAGGAATACTTTTTTAGCTAACATCTGCAGAGGTCCGGAAGACAATGCAAAACATTACAAAATGACAAGTCTGTTCAGGGATAAGGACAATGTTGGCTCAGGGTATAATCAGAAGATTCTGTCAGCAAGCTGTGACAAAAGCACGCAAAATTTCTCTCTTCAGAGCAGTCAGTACTTAATTGCTCACTCTTTAAAGGCTATACTACAAAATACCCTTTTAAACCAGATGGTAAAAAGAGGTGGTGATTGCTATTTAAGTAATTCTGCAGGAGCAGCAGTTTTCTGTCTTACTCTACAAGCAGTAGCTCTCATGAGATCCTCATCAGTGAAAAAAACAGTGGACTACAGTGGTTCATTAGCTCACACATCTTATGTTATATATGTATTATATCTGAATACTTATGAACAGCGGGAAGGATTAACTGCTGGCTGATACCTTAGTTTTCTGGTGGTTAAAAAAAAAAAAAAAAAAAGACCTTAGCAAAGAGAAACTAATTTTCCAAGTCCTGTTTTTCTGGATTTATATGTAGAAAGCAGATTATATCAGCATTAAACAATTATGAGGCTACTTGAAACATTTTTCTTCAAGTTATCGGATCCCATCACTTGTTAAGATGTCTGTGGTGTAAGAACTGATTGTTTCAACATGAAAAACAATCTTGCGGACGTACATGGATTAGAGCTTTCAAATCCAATCTTCTAGGTTCTGTTAGTCATAATAGAAACCTTAAAATGGCAGCCAAGCAATTGTTTGAAATGTTTCTAAAGTTGTTCTCTTGCAGAAGACATTTGTCCCACAAGTTTGTAGGG